AGAGAACATTTCATTTAAGACAGCTCCTGAAATTAAGGGTCTTCATCCATCTGGTAATCTGAAAGTTTAAGAAGCATGGGGGAAAAAGAAGCCCTCTCAGAATTATTTTAGGAAAACAATTATTTAATTAGTCTCTAGGAAGTTAGAGAAGGAAGTTAAACATGTAATATATAATTAAGATGGAAAACTCTTTCAGTGATATTAGTTATCAGTATTCAACTACAACTGTTATGCATCTTCAGGCTCCAGAGTTTAAGCCTACATACACGAGTAATTAAATCTCTAGCCTCTACAGAGAGGAAGGCTGAAACTGAAACGCCACTTAGAGCACAATATAAAGAGGGCAGAATTAAGGAGAGACAAACTTTACTTTCATTGATGGCTTATGAACTGCTGCCAGAAGAACCTAGAGAGAAAAAAAACCCTTCAGATTTGAATGAAAGTTTCACCATTCGATGCTTAAACCTTCTTTTCCTTTTTAATTAGCTAATTAAATGTCTCTTCTGACTTGTACGCATTTTAGAAGCCTTGTTTCGCCACCTGAATCCTGATGTTGAGAAAGTTGTGTTATTCAGTAAAAAAGGTCCAACAAAAGCAGAGACTCAGAAGTTCCTTACAGGCTACAAAGAAAATGCATTTAGTGCTCCATGTTCTAACTACATTCATATTTTTAATATACCATTTGCTTTCCCCATCAGCTTGTTTACCTTAAGTATCATTTGTGCTGCAGTGCAAGACACCTGTTTTTGTTGACCTGGGTCCATGATTATATAATTAATTCACTTATTCAATGTAAGTCACCCTAAGAGGCATATACTCGAAAATTTACAACAGTTTTCCCGTTTTATCTTAAACATCCCTCTGTACACGAATGGATGAAGGCACAGGATGTGCAGGCTCACAGCTTTCACATTAAAGTCTTTTGTTGAAACTGTTCCACCTGTTCTCAGCCCTCTAAGAAAAAAAAGTCTTGAGGACTCCACTTTGTGGAAGAGCTCTATAAAAGCCTGACCGATGATTTTAAGTACTAAGGAGAAAATGAGAAACGTTAGGTACGTGAATTAGGAAATGTTAATTTCATGCACTTTAGGAACACACACTCACACCCCACAGTAGTAGAAGCAGTAGTAGAGGAAAACACTACATGTGTAGGGGTAGAAATATTTGTTACATCATGGTGCTGGCTGGCGATGGAGGGTTGCCGCCTTAGAGCCCCCTGAATGGTACTTCCACTCTGGAAAGCATTCACTACATCCATCTGCAAGGAATCAGAGATTGTGACAGCTTGCTCAGCAAGAGAGAGAGAGAACAAGAGAAAGGACCATCCCATCTATAACACACAAAAAGTAAAGAAAAAAGGCACTTTTTTTTTTTAATAGAGCAGATACACAGGCAAGAGTTGCATTTAGAGCTGAAGAAAACAGAGGACCCTGAGGGATTACACATCCATCCATACCCCCTTTTGACAGTCTCAGTCACACCAGTTAGAACTGCCACCTTAGTCAAAGGACTGGAGATGGAGAGGAGAGATTTCCCTCATAACACCCACTGCATCCTACCTTTTTCAAGACCATACCTGAGTTTGTATCCTGTTTAGGCCCCTAAACCACAAGATCTGACCGCGACGTAATTCTCTCTCAGCATGATCGATCTCCTCTACATCTTCTGCTAGTTCTTCTTCAGGAATCTCTTCCTTTTGTGTTCCATGACCAGCTTCTTTAAGGAATTTCAGACGGCTGGTTGGAATTGTTGAAATCAACTAATGGTGAATGAAAAATATGAATCAGGATTATTCTTTTTTTTTTTTTTACATAATAAATGTAATACCAGACTTAAGGCTTAACATAATATCCTGCATACAATTAGCAAAGTTGAAAAAACAAATTATGTAAGTGGGATGAGTGCATCAACGTAGAGCAATCACTCCAGCTGAACAGTTGCAAAGCTGTGAATATCCTTACCACCTCAACTGAGATGTGAAATTAAACTTGGACTACAAACCTAGAAAACGAAACATCCTTGCTCGGAACAAAGAATTCCACTTTAGCGTTACTTGACTATGCCAGGAAGGAGCAGTACTGAAGCTACAAGAACCATTAATTCTGTAGATTTGTCCTTGTATCTAGGGCTTTCAGAGCTCCATCAGTTTGATGAGCATGATGTGTTACCTCAAGTGAGAACCATATCATTTAATTAAAGTAGCCACAGGTAATTCAGAAACACAGAACAGACATGCATTCTTTTGTGAGCTGGAAGGTATCAATCGATTTGCAAGGTGAGTGATGTTTCCAAAACCCTTATCCCAAACTGTTACTTTGCTACTTGGTGTACACTAGTTCATCTATTTTAAGCTAAACAAAAGCTACATATGGCTGTTCCAGCTTTCCTTTTCATCCCCACCTTCAGGGCTATTCTGGTGAACTATGTGGTTAAGGGGAGTCATCTTTTGATACGTCCCATCTAGCAGATCCAGATCAGTTCCAAGATTGCTTTCCTTGATCATCACAAACCTAGAAGACCATTTCAGCAGCTGCAGAGGAAAAAGACTGCTCCAAAAGCAAGATAAACAGCCCTTTATACTGAAATTGCTACTATGAATGCTCCCAGATCACACTTCCGTTTCTACTATTCTCAGAAAGTCAAAAGCTCTTTGACTTTAATGCGATGCTAGAGCAGCATGAACTGCAGCAGGGAAGCTTTACCCTTGCAAGACACTTTGGGTCAAAGGTATTTCAAGCCATCTTGATTCTTTTCTAGGCTACTTTTAAACCTCAGAGTGACTCTATTTGATTTTTTGAAATAATTAATTTTCCAGAGAACCTTACCCACCTTTTAGAATATGCATCTATGCATGTATTTAAACTATCAATTTTATACTGAAACCTGAAGTGTCCTTTACAAAATGGAAGGAAAGAAACTGTAATGGAAAACTCTTCATGTAGTATGAAAAGTTTAGACAACTATGTCATTAAATAATGGAAAACTCCGTAGCTCTAAAGTTTCATGTAAATAAGCTTGCTGCTTACAAGCACCATTGTGCATGCAATAGTAATGAAACCCTGGGGCGTGGAAGGGCAGGGAATAAAAATCAAAATGCAGTAGCTTAATAGGTGGGAGAATTTTCCAATTATTTCATAATTATGCAAATGAATATTAAAGAGAAAGTTGTTTTGAGTTTTGCTGCATTTCTTGCTACTCCAGGAGTTTTTAAATCAAGAAAATACTAGCAAGTTTAACAATTCTGACTTTTCAAGAAAACCATTCAACATATTTCAACGTCAACATGTTCATTGCATCTGTATTCTTACAGAACTTCTTCTAGTACTTATCTGACTAAAGATATAATTTCATATTTAAAAGGTAACTACAGCTGCTTCTAGTTAAAAGTTACTAAACATAAACCAGCCATAGCAACTAGTTATGAAATGTAACTAATCCACCAAGTCAGAGTAAGGAATATCCAATTAAGGACTTTCTAGCTATTGAACTAGCCAATTTTAATCAGTATTTACTGTTAATCTCCATATATTCATATAGTCCACTTGAAAGATCTGAATGCTAAAGACAGTGTATTTGTATTTTCCATGTAAAGTATTCTAATGCAAGTACATATTTGGCATTTTGAAAAAGCTAGTTTACCTGGCCCCAGAGTAGTGTTCCCATGCCCAGGAAAATGGACCACAGCCACTGTTCAATCGAGAGTTCTGAGCAACTGAAAGGCTTCCCACCGAACTGCACAATAATTATCTGTGAAGAGCAACATCATTAAAGAACACGTATCAGTGACCTGTTACTAGAAAATTCCCTAATGCTTCAAGATCACTACAGACAGCTCTGCATTAGAACATAGGATTTCCCATCCTATTAAGCATACACTTCCACTGTCTCAGCAGTTTGAGCACGTTTCCAAACCTAAGCCATCTTCTTATGCTTTTCAGTATTTCAAGAACTACCCATTTATTCTTCAAATGTCACACTCATGAAAACGTGTTGACTACTTCATTTTGCTTGCCGTTCTTTCCCTTCGTTTCGCAATTACAGCACGTATTCGATGCCACAAATTTACAGTGATTATTTACCATGTGAACACCCATCTCAGAACCAAGTTGATTAATAAACTTGTATTAATACAAGTCGTAGATCCACAAGACATAAAACATTTCAGAAATAATTCAACAGAATATTACTCTGTATCCCATCAGTGTTAAACGTCAGACTTTAAATCATCACAGTGTGACATCTATGTAGTAAGTCTTGGGGGGAGGGAGCAGAGATCTCAAAAGCTAAATTAAATGAGCTCCTACTGACTTACCTATTACAACAAGCTGTACAGGCCCTAATGAGCAAGGTATCCCTCTGCATAGGGATTATATGCATGAAAGCCTGCCCTGGAGAATCAACAATTCAAGTAGCAGGGCAGGCATGAAAAGGAGACAGTATTGACCATTAAGCAGGACAGCTGAAAAGCCCAAGAGTATCTTCTTTTATTAACACAGCATAAAACACTGAGACAACAACTCAGGAGTTACTTATTTGGGAAGGCATTCAGTCCACCAAATTTATAAAGGGAACGCAGTTGCAGTCAGAAGTAATTTCTACATATTTGGCTTTGTTGCACAACAGTCAGTCTGCTACATATGCAACCCTAAAAATAAGAGTAGCTTCTGAAGAAGTGTCATCTAAAAAAAAAAACCTAAACCTGGGAGAATAAGTGAACTAGCTTCACGTGAAGCAGAGCTGCATACATTTGCATTGCTTGAACCGTTATGAATTTGGTCAGCTTCATGGAATACCAAGTCTAAGAAGAAACTTAAGGCGCAGGTTATATCTTACGTCTGAAATAACGTAAGTCAAAATGAAAGAGTTTTCTGAAAAAAAGTAGTATTTCCATTTGTTGGTTATTTCTTCTGATGAATTAAAAGTTAAGGCCATTTAGAAGGTGAAACTATTTCTCATAAACTATTTTCTTTAGATTCAATTTTGACTTGATGTTTCTCAACACCAGTGTGTTAACCCAATCAATTTCAGATAATTTCATTTCATTTGTTAGCATATACTGAGTTAACTAACTAGCTTTTACAAATCTGCCTCAATGCACCAACAAAAGGTCCCTAGACATCAGTGTTTTTCACCTAAAAAAGCAGCATCTATACAGATAACTAAAATATATACCAGTGCAGATAATTGATTTCCACAGAAGGAAGATAAAAACTGATACTTAAGTTTCTAAAGCTTATTCATGTCCTAATCTCATTAAGAAGATATGAGAAGTTGTAACTTTTCTATAATTGTTTAAATGGGCTCTCATTCAGATGCACAGGCAGATACTATGAGGAAGACTAGGTGGGGAACATACAACTTCTTCACATTTTGTCAAGAGACTAGAACACTAAGATCAAATTGAAGAACTAGAAAATTCAAAAGGTAAATACAAATACTTCTAGATTCCAATTTTACCAATTTCGAAGAGGTCTTACCTGAAAACCCTGTCAAGCAGCACTTCCAAGTAATTTATAGCGTGTTTGACGCTGAAGTTTTTTTTCACATTACGGAAATGAAATGCCTGGCACTAGTTGATTAGCATTTCTAAGGTAAGAAAGTACATCAGTGTACTAAGTGCATTTTCCCCCCCACCCTCCAAGAATTTACTTACCTGTACAACAAATGTCCCCAGAACAATAGTACAGAAGATAGCGTTGTTAAAGATTCCTTCAAAAACGTTTCTTTCACCATGAATTTTTCGGGCATTAATTTCATTAAAAAGCTGCATCATCACAAACGTATTAAATACAATAGTATAATGCTCTGAAGGAGGAGCATGCAGAGGTGCATTTCTTCCACTATCGATATCAAAAATTCTCTCACCTGTGTATAAAAGGCATTTATCAGCAGCTTAATTGGTGTTTTTATACACACACTACAACAAAAAATTAGTTTTAAGATCACATCTCTGTACAACTTTCAGAATAACTTTGCAAAGCCTCAGTATTCTTACCAGCAAACAGGAGCGTGAAGACCACTACGAGTTGGTAGAATGCATGACCCAAAATGTTCTTCATCATTGTACGAGAAATCAAAGGTTTGTTTCTACCATAAGGCTTTCGCAACAGAAGAGCTTCAGTGGGTGGTTCTGTTGCCAGGGCAAGAGAAGCTAATGTGTCCATTATGAGATTTACCCACAGCATCTGCACAGCTTTAAGCGGAGAATCCTATAAAGATAGATATATAAACCCTCCAATATAAGTGAACAAACTGCAGCTATTAAAGGCATTTATTATACAACATGGGCATGTTCTGAAGGGCATTATGTTCTTTGGACTAGTATTTAACTGAAAGTTTGAAATCAAGAGTTAATGAGTCATGACATTTTCAACCTTTATTAGCTGAAACAATCCACCACCAGTACGTACTTGTGTTATGCATGCTCCTGTAAAAGCAACAATTACTGCTACTACATTGACAGTAAGCTGGAACTGAAGAAATTTGGAGATGCTGTCATACACGTTTCGTCCCCACATAACTGCTTTAACAATACTTGTGAAGTTGTCGTCTGTAAGGATAATATCAGAAGCTTCTTTAGCTACGTCTGTTCCAGCAATACCCTGGTAGAAAAAGAAAAACACTATGAAATATAACAGGATGCACTGACTTATGTAATAGAAGCTATTATTATACCCTCGGTCAGTATTCACTTTGGTGCACCTTGTCTGAAGGACTATTTTAATGTAAGCACCTAAAGTTCTACTGAATCAAGTTCTGCTTGCAAGTTCTACTCAAGCATGGGAAAATGTAAACAAAAAACAGGTAATGTTGTCTTTAAAATAAAGACCTTAATAAAAATCCTCAAGTTGATGACAAAGACAAAGTTCTCCCAAAGAAGTGTTACTGACCACTGTTCAAGTTAAAGGCCACCAGATGGTGCAGCACTACAATTTAGTCTGTGTCCTAATGAGTTTGCTACATGGATTCCAGCAGTAGGGCAATGCATGTGTTCATAACATAGTAGAATGATACATAATCCCAAAAACCTTTTCCAGAAGAGCATTAGCATTAAACAGTAGAATATGCAATATGCACGTGACATCGCAATGCAGTATGACATTCTTAAGTTTTAAGCACCTGTAGTCTCCTGCAGTGTCCAAACAGTTAAGCTGAGTTCTGTGCAATACCTACTTCAAGGATATTTATTTGCTTTTGGCATTTCAAAAACACTAACTCAATAGCAAATTTAATGATCCTTATTCTTGATAAATTATTTTGCTAAGGAAATGACTCACCTGCATAGCTATGTGTACACCTTAAAAGGTACATTTAAATATCATGTAGTAGATGGTATATTTTAAGTGTTATTTAGATAAGCAGTTAGAGAAATTAGTTTCTTACACAGATGAACATAGACAGCAACTGCAGGAAACATTTAAGTTCTGGAAGATGAAAATAAATCTGCCCCTGACAGTGCCAACTACAGCAGCTATACAATAGCAGAAAACACATACTCGTTAAAACAAGATTGTTACTGTCTAGAGAACATTTCATGTGTAGCTGTCAAATTTTTAAGTTATGCTTTTGAAAAATGCTCCTTGAGAATGACAAAAAAGCTCCTCCTCTCCCCATTTTTTTCTTCAAGATTAGCATCTGAGTCAGTGCATCTGCATGTGGTGTAGGAGAAGTGTGGTCTTCATTATTTTTTTTTTCCTTCAAGTGCTTAATAATGAGTTTTTAAAGACTATAGTGACCTACTAGCACCAAACTGTACCTTTTCAGCTTAAGACTGAGGAGGAATCTTGTGGCAAGAGGAAGCTTGAGGAATTTATTTTACAGTGTTTTGAAAGAGTCAGAAGGAAGCTGAAGCCTACATACTTAAGGCATGAGTCTATCTAGTATTAGCACTTAAAGCCGAGACTTGGTTTGACTACCATTTGAAAAGGTAGTTGAGAATTTAAATTGAGAAAGCCAAGCAATCAAAGGAAACATTCAGACAAATGCAGATCCTAGATTGTCAAAAAGTGCTGTTACTTCAGTTGTACTAGAGATGTCTCTTAGTATAGCCTCCAAAGCCATTTTAAACATCAACTGGCAGTCTCTCTCATTATAGTCTCCCTGTTCCTATGCATCATTTCATGGAAAACAGATGATTAAGCTCATTCCATATTGCATATAAGCTTTACTCAAAGTCAACATAGTATGCTATTTACCACCTAAAGTCATTTTGCCTTATGTTGAACAGATCTCATTTCAGAAGTCTTCAGGATCAGTAATTCTGTTCCTATGTTTTGCAACAAGCCTTTGTGGAAAAAGGTTTTGATTCGCAAGTGACTGGGGTTCTGCGTTTTTTAAGTTTTATTCAATGGCAAATGGCACAAGGACATTTTCCATCAAATGAAAACATGGCTAAGTTGGGAGACTGAGGAAGGAGGAAAAAGTAATTAGTATTAAGTATGAGAGATGTTGACTCCATTAACTTAGTTGTATATTAGGCTCATGAAACAAGCAAGGTTGTTTAATGATCTTTTAAGTAATTTGAGAAGTTATTTTATCAAAATAGGTCTCCAAAATTCTGAAGATTTAAAAAAAAAAATCATACCATAGCAAATCCAACATCTGCCTTCTTCAGAGCTGGACCATCATTGGTACCATCACCAGTTACTGCTACAACTTGCCTCTGTTCAAAGACAGTGCTGTCAATTATACCTAAAATAAAATGACATCTTGGTGTTACAGTTCAAAGTTGACAACACAGCACAGACTGAACCTGAAAAAGAAACCCAGTTTTTGTCTTCCTCAGAGTCATTAAACAAAAAAAAACAAACCAAAAAACCCAAGAAAAAAATCCCAACAGATAGTTCTAGTTGGCTCCATTTCTCGGGGTGGGGGTGAAGAAATCAGTTGGCAAATGAAGATACCCTCATAGGCATTTCCCACTTTTCAGTCCTAGTTTTTTTTTTTTTTCTAGAAGCAGGGAAAAAAATAAATCTAGCTTTACTTAGAAACTCAGATAATTTTTACTTACCTTTTACTAGAGTGTGTTTGTCAGTGGGAGACGATCTTGCAAGAACACGAAGCTTTGGCCAGATTTTATCTATTCGCTCTTGCTCTATCTGCAAAAAGAGGATTGCTTATATTTTACAGTTAGGAGACTTAGAATATCTGCTGATCTACTTTACATAGTCAGTATGCTTACCTCTCCTTTTTCATTGCGTATTCTCCTGTTAAAGTCTTTGCCCTCTAAACACAGGAAGTCTTCACCAGGATTCAGAATACCACATTTTAATGCAATAGCACGAGCAGTGTTAATGTTATCACCAGTGACCATACGTACAGTTATGCCTGCACGTTGACACTTTTTTATTGCATCAGGTACCTGTAAACAAAAAACAACAAACAAAAAAACCCATAGGCTCAGAGACTGTACATTAGCTGAATAAATCTAGACATGTGAGTGAAAGGAATGTTTTTGGCTCAATCCAGGATAACTCTTATTTTAAAATCGACTGTTGTTATGGAACATTTAAAAAAAAAAATAAATAGCTTACTGCAGTTCTTTTCCTGAAAAACCACACAAATGGCAATTCTGGCAAAGGGGCTTTATTGTTGTTGTTATGTTATGTCCCCTCCCCCCTCCCTTCATTTTTCAAATACTGTAGTATTCAAAAATACCACAAAAATCCTCATGACCTATTAGGCTGTAATATTCAAAGGTACTGAGTACTGGCTTTTCATTTATGATTATGTGAAATGAACTGCAGCTCACACTCCACTACTTCACCCGTGACTTAGTGTGAAGTGATGACAGTGAAGATCAGACTGGAGTTCCACTTACATGTGGCATAAAAGCTTTCACTATTGAAAAATACTGCCCTCTTTAGACCTCAACCACAAGCCGGACTCCTTACCTCAGTTCTCAGGTGACAAACCCTCCTCTCCATCACTCCCCATGAGAAGCTGGCAACAAGCACAATATTATCCTAAACAATACTCCTAATACTCCAAGTGGTAAAAAAAAAAAAAGACAAGTTGTTCCATCTACTGAGACCCTGCACAGTAAGCGCCTTAAGTCATTAGTTTGTACAGAGCTTCAGTAACACAGCATAAGTGACATTAAGAAGTTTTAATCTGCTTTTATAGCTCCATTAACTTCCCCCTAAGAAATTAGTTTTTCATTTATCAACTATGCTTAAGGCGTACAATAGCGATTCAGTTCCTTGTACTCGCTGCATGATGAACAACATCATGAATCAAGATCCGTTGTAACAGAATCACTGCAGTTTAGTCAGTGACCCTACCTCAGGTCTCACAGGGTCTTCAATCCCAACAACAGCAATGCACGTCAGACCAGTAACAATATCATTTTCATTGTCCCATTCTGGCTCAGGTTCCCCTGCTGGGAAGTCTCTGAATGCCAGGCAGATGGTTCTGAGCCCTTCAGAAGCCATTGGCTCAATTACAGTTTTCACGATATCATCGCGGTCCCTAGGTCTAAATACCTTTGGTTCTCCATTAGCACTCAGTATTTTGAAGCACCTGAAAAGGAAGGTTTAAAGAGTTAAAGTTCAGCCCATTCAATGGCTTATTAGTCAACTCCAGTAAGTTTCCACAAGCTTTGTTTTCACTAGAGACACACACACACACACGAAAAGCCAGTGGCAGCATCTCTAAGGTAATCTTCTCCATATACACTTAATCTCTTCCCAATTGCAAAACATACTAGGTGTAGAAAGTTAACTGAGCCCGTCATCCTAGGATGAAAATAGTGCCCAATGAAATTAGGACACAAAGATTAGTTACCTCCCAGAAGTATCCATTTCTCCATTGCATGTAAACAGACTAGTGTCTATGCTGGTTGAGTCAGTCAATCCAGTTTCAAGTTCAACAAAATAATCCCACCTTGTTAACAGTTATACAAGTCTCAGAAGTACAATACGTTTCAGAACGTGCATGTGGTGCTTAAACAGCTGTAAGTACTAAACTTACAGCTCTGAAAGCAAACTTTGGTACTATGATGAACCAATGCCATCCTTAAGAGTAGTAAGGTGTGCCCCCGTCCCCCGTCCCCCAGTCTAAGTGCAGAGAATTCAGAGAGCATCTGGCATAGAGTTCTTAATGTGAAGTATTAAATGAAAAACAAATACTTAAATCTAATTTAATAAGAGACTAGATGCAACACTATGTACTCTGTACTCTCAACACATGCTTTTTAAGTGCAGAGAATTCAGAGAGCATCTGGCATAGAGTTCTTAATGTGAAGTATTAAATGAAAAACAAATACTTAAATCTAATTTAAATATTTGTAAGAGACTAGATGCAACACTATGTACTCTAACATTTCAACACATGCTTTTAGTTGTTTCTTCATGCCAAACATGCCACTGCTTTCATAGACAGTATACATACTTTACCAATATTAATACCATGAATATAACACTACCAAATATTTTGAACAACAAATTTAGTCTCATTCATCTGCATGCTTAGCAAAGTTTTGCCATAAAGCAACACCATAAGCATTTGTTTTACAAATTAGTACTAATATGGCACTGAAAAAAAAATAAGAATTTATGACTTGTTTTTAAAGTATCGAGTTCGGACCTGGCAGATCTGCTAAAATGACTACTGTTATATTTAAGTATTTAGTCCAAGGGTTTAGGGAATTCCCAAGTGCAATACATATAAAGTTTCCACCTCAGCCAGGGAATGAAAACAAAACAGTCCCTTGGAGCTTCATAGTATTCATCACAACTGAAATTTGAAGTCGATCTGAATTTCCTGATTTTGGTTATCTGTTCAAGTGTCAGCAACCACTAAGGATATCTTGTGTTACCTGCAATCATAGGACTTGTGATAAATTCAAAGCATTCCAAGATGACTAAATGGAAGCCAATAAGCTTTATGTAAAGATTTCATTGAAACTCATTTCAAATATTTGACTTGATGGTAAGGAAAGAAGAATAAAACTGCTCTGATTGAAAAAGTTTGCTGCATTTCTTCTACGCTTATTAGCGACTCATTTGTGTCTTATAAATATTCATGTTTAAGCTTTCAGTGCTCAAGAACAGTCATACATGTGACAATAAAGAATGAGCAGCACAATTGACAAACCAGGTTACAAGCTCTGAGATTAATTTCTGGCACCGCATAGGTAGTGGGTAAAGAAAGTGGCTTATGATGCTAAGGCTTTTTCCTAGTCCATGCATACTCTGAAATAGTTTTGGAATTACAACTATTCCAATAGTATCCAAATCAGTCTAGGTTTTCTTGTTCTTTGCCAAATGTCCTTATTATTTATTTTCTTATCTCAGTTATGAAGCCAAGTGGACAACATGAGTCTGGGCTGAACGAGTTTTAGCAACTTCTACAGTTCAACTGCTCAACAAGATAATAAGGTACAAAATACTTCTGAAGGCAGAAGCAATGCAAATATAGGCATACTTATTCACTGATGAGACTTGGCTTAAAAGCTAACTATGAAAAAAATCACAGCTAAATCTAAGTTCCATATCAAAAGGAACAAGAGCCCTTTAAGATTGACTTTTTGTTGTCAGCACTAAGTTGAGGAGAAAGAAGATTTCATCTTTTTTCTTTAGTGCATTAGTACTTTCCTAGATATTGATTTGGGGGGCTAGTAGCAAGCAAAAAGGTAAATTGAACTGATGAACATAATCTATGCGCTTCTCAGACTAGAAATAGTCTGATGTTAGAACCAAAACCAGGCTGGCTACAACTGCTGTTCCTAGAGAACAGCATGCATACATGCTTGACTTCTCTCCTCACCTAGGAATTACCATGGCCTTCTTCACACCTAAGTGTTTGTCCCAGTGGTGACTAATCTTTCACTAATAGTCTAATCTCATTCTAATAAATCCCCTATAGATGGGCAGATGCATAAGGAAGCAATTTGCTTTATCACATTAAAAACCCTCAAGTTTCTCCATTGGCCAAGTTCAACCTCCTGTTAAATGATCAGCTTGGACACCAACTTGCACAGTCTTTTGAAGCTGAAAATAATCTTAAAAGTAATCACTTTTCAACGGCACAAGTCGTTGCTGGAATTTAGGCATATCAGCTGTTCGGACTTCACTGGAAGATGGGTGAGCATTTTGACCAACCGCACCTAAAACTATAATAGTTTAACTAGAGAATAGATCAATTCATAGACACTTTCCTGTATCAGAGCAGAGTTCACAAGTTAAAATTAATCATGACCAGCTCTTTTTTTTGGGGGGTGGGGTGTGAGAATTGAAGTAACTGAAATGCTAATTGCCCATCTTACTGCAGAAAGTCAAACAATTGAGGGAGACAAGCTGGGAAGCTGGCTGCAATCACAAGGGTATAGGACTGCTGCACTTGTTTGTGAATAGGGCAACAGAAGTATTTCGCAGACTATGGCACAATGTTGTTTACCACTTCAGCCTCCTCACCTATCACAACATTTAGCCAAATTTCAGTGCTGAAGTACAATAGTAGTTGTTCTTACTTTTTAAGAACTATCTCAGAGGCACCTTTACTGAATATCCGGAAACTGCCATCAGAGTTTTTTAACACAGTACTCATAGATTTTCTAACAGAGTTGAACGTGTACACTTTGTACAAATCCTCTTCTGGTATCTCATTTCTTACGTCCTGATAATCACGTTTTAAATCCAAGAGCAATCCCAGCAAGGCACATTCAGTTTTATTTCCAACATGACGTGGTAGGCCACCTTCTTTTTCAGGAGGCTGCAAGAAGAACAAGAACCTTTGCTGATTAGGTTAACCTATGAACCACTGAAGTACAGCATGTAGAAAACAAGGGAGCTAAGGCCAAGCTTAGCTCTAGGATGGGGAAGTTTCACTTTCGCAATGATTACTCTATAAATTCCTATGAGTCATGAGCCAAAGTCATACTGCTGGCTTTTTAAAGTAACTTCTGTACCTGTTCAGGATCTTTCAGTCCCTTTCTCAGACTCAAAAATCACCCATCAAATCCCAGCATGACCCTTCTAAAAGGCATTTTCCATTGCTTGAAATATCTATCTGATCAATTGAGTGTAGTCCCTGAATAATTATTTTGCATTTTAAAAGTACAGAGAAGTTTACTTAAACTGATTTAAGCAAGCTAAATGGCATTATTTCTGCTAAATTAAAGTATCCTCTCCTGTAGTAACTCTTCCGCAATGAATTAGACTACGATCACATCACCTGTTAGCCTTCTACTGAATAAACTAAGTCTTTAAGCTTCTTAAGTCTCACCACAAGTTCTGTTTTCCAGGCCATGGCCTATTTAACTGGAAAGAGTTCAGAAACAAGTTTCCAACCCTTTAATACCAGAACAAGTTTATTCTCTCAATGTGGAATATGCATGTACTAGTGCTATAAGTAAAGGAGTATTTCTCAGATATTTCTGAGCTTATATAGCTGTAACATTGCAGTGCAGTTTGTAGCAGAAAAGGCAGAAGCACTTACTCAGCCTGACGTGCCTCAAACAGCTAGAGCTGAACTATATTAATCATAAGTCAGTGATCCATTTTCATCATTCAGAGCTGCAAGATCTTGGATTTGGCTGTACTGAATACTCACACTTTCAAAATGTTCACTTTAACGTGCAGTTTAAGATGTCCAGTTCTGGGCTCCCCAGTACGACAGACATGGACATCCAGCCATGGGCCACAAAGATGATAAAGGGGCTGGAGCACCTGACATATGAGAGGCTGAGAGAGCTGAGACTGTTCAGCCTGGAGAAGAGAAGGCTCTGGGGAAAAAAAACTTATCAGTGTGTATTAAATGACTGAATGGGGCAGGCGGGTGGCACGGCAGTAAAGACTGCCAAGCCCGACCTAGACTGCCAAGCCAGACTTCCTACTGGTATCCAGTGAGAGGACAACAACGGGCAATGGGTACAAACTGAAACTCTGAAATTCTATTTGAACATAAGGAAACACTTTTTTACTCTAAGGGTGATCAAATACTTGACAAGGTTGCCCAGATGTTGCAGAGTCTCCACCCTTTGAGATTCTTAAAACCTGACTGGACATAGCCCTGAGCAACGTGGTCTGGCTGACCCTGCTTTGAGCAGGGGAGTTGGACCAGAGGATCTCAAGAGGTTCCTTTCAGCCCTCTGTGATTCTGTAAAACAGACTAACTCTGACTGCATTGGATATAATTTGATTAAAATTGTAGTAGTAAGGGACCTGGTCAGTTTACATGCAGCTACTTTTTTTCTTTCTATAAAAAGATCTTTAGAAAATTGACTGTGAAACTCCTCACATGCTATAACTCAGTAGTATTTCAGTCTTGTTTCGGAGAAATCGGTGCTGGTGATCTTGATGTGCTGCCTCAAGTACTGCTATTACGGAAATTCTTGCAGAGGTACCATCTTTGTTGGCTGAAAAGTAGCTTTTGGACTGGCGTTTTACTGCTATTCCTGTACAAAGCATTATAGTGGAAGCTTCTACTAAATCTTGAAATGCTAATTTATTTATTTTTTAAAGCTAAATTCTAATTATTATTTTTGCTGCCTTAAAGAATATGTTATGCAACACGTTGGAATAACTACAGCAAGGAAGCTATGTTTGGAGTTGCAGAAACTTATGCACACAAAAGTGCTAAATAGTCCAGTATTTTTAACGTGTAACAGTCCATTATTCTTTTTATTTCAAAATATTTTGGAAGTCTCAAACAAGGTATGAGCAAAGATGTTACAATTCTAAAGTCTACAAACTCATACAACAGAATCTGGAATAAAAATCCATCAAAATCCTCATCTGTACTTGTGTTTTCTCATTACCTTCTAGCTAATGTTATGCTACTCTTACATGTTTACTTTGAAGTAGCATGCAAATCAAGCCAAGATGCTCTTCAAGTAAGGTAAACAGCCCCACTTATAAAAACAAATTTAGACACAACTGTGAACTTAGAGGAAGTTATCTTCCTGAGATTGTATCTTTGAATTATTTGTTCTAACTGAAATAAGCTATTTTTGAAGCTTAGACTCAAATGAACAGTTGAGTAATTTACAGCAGGTACAAAATACCTTACACTGCATTTTGCCACACACTTACACTTAACTGCCTACCATGTGGCCACCAGACAATTTGCATCTTTTGAGGAAGTTGTTTAGTTACCTTGATTAGAATGAAGAAATCCACTTACCAGTATTTTGGAAGTATAAGCACAATTAACAGAAATTCCTGTCACAAGGTAAGCCATAATTTTCTCTGGAATAGCTTCTGGCTCTGGAATTTTTTTATAGTGTTTTTCATTGATGTAGGCTTGGACCACTGTCATTCTGTTCATGGTCAATGTTCCCGTTTTATCTGAGCAAATAGCTGTTGCATTGCCCATTGTTTCACATGCATCCAGATGTCTCACCAAGTTATTATCTTTCATCATTTTCTAAGGAAATAAAAGCAGTCAACAGCTAGCCATGACCATTACTTCACATTTCAGAAATTATCATTTAGAGAATATAGAGAATATCCAGTCTTACACAGCAGTTTCAGAAGACACTCAGCCTTTAAGTTATCTGGCATCTTACAGAGGAAGAATTTGTAGCTGCCACATTCTGTAAGGATTCCTTTAAGTCTACCATGTCACAGTAAACTTCATTTTGAACAACGTTCATAAATACAGTCTTAATCTCCTGTATCTCCATGTCATGCCAACTACTGATACTAGTCACACTGTTACGAGCAAATAGTTTATGATGATATTTAGAAATAGAGGAGAGGTACAGACTGAGCTTTACCAGATATAACAATAAAAAAAGTCTTTCTGCTTACAAGAAAGATCAAATAAACTATGTTACAGACTTATTTGAATATCAGATGCTAGATGCTTTCAAAGATGCTAGAGTCAGACTTAAAATCAAATACAAACTGGGAACCTAATGTTTCAGCTATGGTAGTGAGGACTACACAAATTTCATAAGTCAAACATTGCTTTAAATTCTTTACTTAACAGGTTTGGATAGTATTTTAACCTTGAAGAGGCAGCGTAACTTCAAATGATACAATACTAAGGCCACTACTCGTTAGTACTGTAAGTTATTAAGTTTTAGAACACAGCCTAAACAGCCATTGTCTTTACAATTAGATTTTCAGATCAATAACCAGTTGCAGCATGCTGAAGCAATAAGAAAATTAAGAGAACAAAGAGCATGAGTTAAAAAAACATGCTGTATAACAAAGCTGTACTAAGTTATTAGTTTTAGAACACAGCCTAAACAGCCATTGTCTTTACAATTAGATTTTCAGATCAATAACCAGTTGCAGCATGCTGAAGCAATAAGAAAATTAAGAGAACAAAGAGCATGAGTTAAAAAAACATGCTGTATAACAAAGCTGTACGTTCTACAATATTCAGTCCTCAAGGAGAGTCAATCTGGAAACTTTTGTAGTAGTTGTTTAATCAGTTAGGTAGAAGTTCAGGTTTACAGAAAGGTTTGTTATTTACAAACTCTAATGCATCTATTATTTTAAGCAAGTGCTACAATGTTATGAGCTAAACCCATTCATCTTTAGCTGGTGACAACAGGCTGTCACTGGTCACTGTTCATATTAATGTGTATTCAGAGATTAAGAAAAATACTGGGGCAGATTTCTTATGCAGTTCAGGGAAACAAGAAAAGTTTCTCCCCAGTCTGTTACATTTATGTGATGCAGCGTATCTCAACTGAGATTTTACAGCTGATGAATACACCCACCTACCTTTAAGGTCTCTTCCCATCTATCCACTTACCTTAACAGAGTAAGCCAGAGATATAGTGACTGCAAGTGGAAGACCTTCTGGTACTGCTACCACCAAGACTGTAACTCCAATAATGAAGAACTTCACAAAATACTGAATGTAAATTGGTGTACATTCAGCAAGCCAAGGTCTCTTCTGAACCCAGAAGGTATCAATTACAAAATATAACACAAGGATAATGACCGTGATTGCAGACATCAATAAACCTTGTTAAAAAGAGAACAAACAGTTTTCAGAAATTATCTCAAATATTTGGCAATACAGACTGTGGATAAGTCAAGTGCAAATACTTCTGCCTTTATAGAAGTTAGCTTATAGCTAAGATTTTAAACAGGCAAGCCGGGAAACATTGAGGTAGTTCTCAAAGGTGTTCCAACTTCCAATGCAAATACTTCCTCATGCATTTCACCTAGAAACTTCTAAAATCTATTTTTTTTTTCTTCCCATATAATTGAAAAGTGTAGGTCTAATTATGAACAGGAGAGACCAATATGTAAAGTCAATTGACTAAGCAGAATAAGAACTGAAATAATACAGCAGGTCTTCAACGATTGTACTGCTGACTTATTCAGTAGAGAAAGCTGCTGACAGCCTGTACCCTGCTTCCTGCTGAAGGTGGGATTAATTATGGCAGGTAAGCACAGTGTTCAATGAACTGGGAGTAACTGGGAAGACAAACCAGAACTGCTGTTAGCAAGCTGAGCAGCACACTTAAGACACTACAGGAAAACAGTGAAGGAAAATGGACCTGGCTGGAATAAAGCAACAGAAGTCACTGAAGTGTCAGCTCTTTATAGAAAGATAGTTCACTGTGTGGACGATCCCAAAGCAGCAGGATGGAAAAATGCATGCATGAGGTAGATGAGCGTTAAGGGTGTGTGGGGAATTACAATGGGTCAAAAGGTGCATAAAGGAAAACAAGAGCTCTTACTTATGAAAGATGTGGAAAAAATTGTTTGATAAGAACAGTATTTACACAAAACATACCATGGAAGCTTTATTCAACTTCTGTTAGTACAAGTTTCTCTGAAAAATTAACATTGCTTTACATAAGTATGGAGTGCTGCAGTAAGTTTAATTGCTTTGTCCTCACACCATAACTGTCTTATGACACAGATGCTTAAGTCAGCCCTTTTTGAGCTGTGGGCTGGGCTACAAGACTTCTAGAAGTTCCTTCTAGCCTTAATAGAATCATAGAATAGTTTGGCTTGGAAGGGACCTCTAAAGGTCATCTAGTCCAACCCCCCTGCCATAAGCAGGGACATCTTCATATAGATCAGGTTGCTTAGAGCCCCGTCCAACCTGACCTGGAAAGTTTCCAGGGATGGGGCATC